CAGCAGGACTAGGATCACTACACTAACAGCGCAGATACTAGAGGTCAGGACAATCTCCCAATCACCAATGACTCTAATAACCCAGCCATGCCAGGGAAAGAACAGCCCTGTAATGCACACGGAGGGCTTGTAGGAGTCAGGAAACAAGCAGAGGCACTAAGCGTTGCGGTGTTTCCCAGCCACTCCCCCAAGGGGTACTTGCAGAAGGAGCACTCACCTGTCAGAGTCGAGGGACACCAGGTTCTCATCTGGACTCTGGCTAAGAGGAGTGTAGCCCTTGTTAAACTTCACTGACCTGAGGGGAGAGGGAATGAGACACCAGGAAGTTTTCAGAGAAAGCCAGAGGTCTCACCCTTGTCAAGAGAGAGCTGCCATCCTCTGTACTTGCCTTCTACTTGGTTGCTCGGCTCTCATGACTGTAGCTCCAAATACCTCCACACCTCTCCCCCTTTCATAAACCAAGGAAAGCAACCACCCTGCTCCCTTATTTAAATGGAGGATTAAAAAACAACAACAACAATGTTGGGAGCAGTGGCTCATGCCCTTAATCCTAACTACTCAGGAGGCTGAGATCTAAGGATCATAGTTCAAAGCCAGCTCGGGCAGAAAAGTCCTTGAGATTCATCTCCAATAAACCACCAGAAATCCGGAAGTGGTGCTGTGGCTCCAAGGGTAGAGTGCTTGCTTTGAGCTGAAAAGTTCAGGGACAACGCTCAAGCCCAGAGTTCAAGCTCCATGACTGACAAAAAAAAAAAAAAAAAAGCACAGAGCCAGGGGTGGGTGGCTCATGCCTGTAATCCCAGCTACTCTGAAGGCAGAAATCAGAGGATCTACCAACTTGGGCAGAAAAGTCGATGAGACTCTTATCTGCAATTAATCAGCAAAAAGCCGGACGTGGGGGTCTGGTTCAAGTGGTAGACCCTCCAGCCTTGAACGGAAACTCTAAGGAACACTGCACAGGCCCCGAGTTCAAGCCCCAGTACAGACACACAAAAACAAAAGCCACAAAAGATTTAAAAACAACCACCACCACCACCCAGCATGGCCGTCCCCGCAGACCCCTCCACCCCAACCCCGAGATCCTGAGGCGGATCCTATCGGCTGACACAAATCCCTGTTCTCATGCCCTTCGCTCCACACTGTCAAGGCCTTAGCGGGAGGAAGGAGGTGGTCCCTCCTCCCGTGTTCGGCCGGGTCGCCGGCCGGGCATCACTAGCTCGGCCTCCCCCCAGGTGCAGACCCGGGCCCGCCTGGGGAAGCCGCCGGCGAGGAGGCGGCGCCCGCGGAGACCTTTTCCCTGAAGAGTCGGGGCGGCTCGGCAAGGCCCCCAGCATGCCTTTCCTCCGCAGAGCGGCTTTGGCCAGGTCCCGGTGCTTCTCTGCAAGCCAAAGCGCGCGGGTCAGCCGGCCTGCCCCGCGCGGGCGTCCCCGGGCGCGGGCGGGAAGGGAGATCTGCCCTGCGGGGACCCGCCTCGGCCCCGGCCCGGCCTCGGCCCCGGCCCGGCCCCGGCCCTCCCGTCCGTCCGTCCTCCCCACACCCGGCCCGGGCCCTCCCGTCCGTCCGTCCTCCCCGCACCCGGCCCCTCCGGCCCTCCCGTCCGTCCGTCCTCCCCGCACCCGGCCCCTCCGGCCCCACTCACGCAGCTTGGCCTGAAGGGACGGCGCGCGCGTCACCATGTAGGGCCCCCGCTTCTCCACGGCCCCGGGGGCGCGCTCCGCCGGCCGCGGGGCCCCTCCGGGCCGCGGCCCCGGGGTGGAACCCCGCACGGCGTGCCCGCAGAGCTCCGCGGTCGCCATGGCCAGGCCCCGCCCCGCAGCCCCGCCTCGCGACGACCGCGCCGCCGCCGCCGCCGGCTTCCCCTCAGCGTGCAGGCGGTGCGCAGGCGCAGACGCGGGCCGCCGTGCCTGTCCGCGCCTTCCGGCCCGCCGGCTGGGGGGGGTCGGCACAAAGGTTCCGCCCCGCCCCACCCCGCCACGCCCCTTTCAGTGGTTTTAACTGCACCCTGGGAAACACGGTGGGCGGAGCTGGCTGGAGCTCCCAGCTCAGCCGCCACGCTCGGGGCGCGGACGGGGAGGCCCCGGGTTCGCCTGAGGCGTGGCTAAGGCTGACCCTCAGCCAAGCCCCAGTTTCTTAAAGTGGAACGTTGGAGCGGGGAGGGCTGCGCGGGGGCCAGGGCGCTAGGCTGGCGGGGCCGGGCCCAGCACCGCCGGGGAAAGGCGGGGCCCGTCAGCACCTGTTCCCCAGATTCAAATGAACTGGGGCGAGGCGCACCCTTGAGTGTGTGTGTGGCAGGGCAGGGGCCGTGTGGAGGCTCTTGACTTCCCCAGCCCCTCAGGGATGTTTCTGCTCGTTTGTGGCTGGCTGGAAATAAGCTCCAGATGGTTGCTGGAACTGCTGAATCTCAGGAGACTAGTTCCGAGGCTAATAAATTGGCCTCCGAAGGGTAGGTCAACACTGCAGCTCCAAGCCCCTAGAGCCAACCAAGTAAAAGTGCTGATTACAAGTAGGTCCTAAGCAGATAGGAGGGAAGCTTTTGAAAAATCAGTAATATGAAACTTCATTATTTCGGTGGATCTCAGCACTGCACTGTTTCGAACCTTCAGAAACATCAATTTTATGATTGTTTAATCTGTGTGACCTGTGAAATGAGACCTAAAACTTGGTCAAAATCAAATTCATCAGTTAAGGGATAAACGAAATTTGCACTCAGGTCCCCGTGTAGTTTTGTTTTTCCCCTGATTTTGCTGCCTTTCCTAGCTTGGAGGCTGAGAGAGGAGGTTCATCTGAGCTGAGTAGTTGTGATGTCTAAATGGGCCAAGAAAGTTCAGCATAATTATCACCAGATTACAATTTATTAATTTATTTAAACTATTCTGTAAATCCTTCTGTCTTCAAAGTTTTATGGGTCTAAGTTAACTAAAAATGAAGACAAAAATGACATTTTCTTTCCTTTTTTTGCTAGTCCTGGGGTTTGAACTCAGGGCCTGGACACTGTCCCTGAGCTTCTTTTTGCTCAAGGATAGCACGTTACCACTTGAGCCACAGCACCACTTCTGGCTTTTTCTGTTTATTTGGTAACTGAGGAATCAAACCCAGGGCTTCATGCATGCTAGGCAAGCACTGCACCACTAAGCCACATTCCCAACCCCAATAGCATACATTTCTTTTAGCTTGGCCTCTCAATTGGCCTTTTCACTTATGGCCTGAACTCTACGTGAGCTACAGCTCTGCTTAAGCTCTTTGCTGGTTAATTGCTGAAGGTAGGAGTCTCAGACTTAGCCAGCACGCTTACGCATGTAATTCTTCCTACTCAGGAGGCTGACATCTGAGGATCTTGATTCAAAACCAGTCCAGATAGGAAAATCCATGACATTCATCTACAATGAACCACATGACAACTGGAAATGGAGCTGGGGCACAAAGTGGTAGAGCTCTAGCTTGGAGCAAAAGAGCTGAGGGACACAAGCAAGGCCTTGAATTCAAGCCTGACAACCGTAAAAAAGGAAAAGAAAAGTTGGATACTGGTGGTGCATGCCTGTAATCCTAGCTTGGGAGGCTGAGATCTGAGGGTCATGGTTTGAAGCCAGCCTAAGCAGGATAAGTCCTTGAGACTCTTATCTCCAATTAACCACCAGAAAACCAGAAGCAGAGCTGTGGCTCCAGTGACAGAGCACTAAGCTTAAGAGAAAAAGCTAGGGGATAGTGCCTAAATCCTGAGTTCAAGCCCAAGTAATGGCAGGCACATAATAAAAAAGCAGGGCTAGGGCTGGGAAGGTGGCTCAGTGGTAGAGCTCTTGCCTTGCATGCATGAGGCCCTGGGTTCGATTCCTCAGCACCACATAAGCAGGAAAAAAAAAGCCAGAAGTGGTGCTGTGGCTCAAGTGGTAGAGTGCTAGAGCTGAGGGACAGAGCCCAGGCCCCACAACCAGACCCCCCACCCTCCCTCCAAAAAAAAAAAGAGCAGGACTGGGAATATGGCTTAGTGGTAGAGTGCTTGCCAAGCATGCATGAAGCCCTGGGTTCAATTCCTTAGTACCACATACACAGAAAAGGCCAGAAGTGGCGCTGTGGCTCAAGTGGTAGAGTGCTAGCCTTGAGCAAAAGAAGCTCAGGGACAGTGCCTAGGCCCCAAGTTTTTTTTTTTTTGTCGGTCGTGGGGCTTGAACTCTGGGCCTGGGCGCTGTCCCTCAGCTCTTCAGCTCAAGGCGAGCGCTCTACCACTTGAGCTACAGCGCCACTTCCGGTTTTCTGGTGGTTTATTGGAGATAGGAGTCTCACGGTCTTTCCTGTCCGGGCTGGCTTTGAACCGCGATCCTCAAATCTCAGCCTCCTGAGTAGCTAGAATTACAGGCGTGAGCCACCAGCGCCCGGCTCTAGGCCCCAAGTTCAAGCCCCAGGAATGGCCAAGGGGGAAAAAAAAAAAAAAAAGCAGGCAGGGAAGGAACACAACACAGGTATGACAGGCGCTGCTTACCACATTGAGCAGTCTCCAGACTAGTTCAGTAACCACTTGTCTGTTTTTTTTTGGGGGGGGGAGGGGGGATGAGAGGGAGAATAATATTAAATTCAAGACCTTATGCTTGTTAGACCTGTGCTCTACCACTTGAGCCACATCCCAACGCAAAAGAGCATCATTTTTCTCTCCAGTACTGACTGGGACTTAAATGCACGACTTCCCGTTTACTGACCAGGTGCTCTACTACTGGAACCATTTCTTAGTGACCACTTTGAAACTTATTTTGCCTGCTTTGGGAATTATATAATCTGTTCCTAACATAGGTGCTTGATGGCCCTACCACTTAAAGCAATAGGATCGCTGAAGTGACATTTTAGCCTTCAGCTAGTTTATCAGGCAAGCACTAACTATGCTGGGGCAGCAGCCTTCACGTCCGAAGCTCTCCAGCGTTGCAGCCAGTGTGTTATAGGAAGACAACGAAACCGAAAGCAATGCCCCAGCACACTGCATCTTCTACTTCTCAATGCAGACAGCCGACAGCTTGTTTCAGTTCAAACTCATTTTCCTTTTATTAAAGTCCAAGTTACCATTACATGGTTTGATACTCAATAAAGGAAAAATTGTTCAAATAAGGTAATATGTCATCATCAGCATTTCCAGGTGACTGTTGACAATCAAGTAGCAGTTCCAATAAGTCTGTGGGAAGCCCATCTGTAAAACACAAAGAATCATTAAAGAAAGGATTAATAACAGGTAGCAATCCTATTTAAGAAATAAGCCAGGTGCCAGTGGCTCACCTGTAATCCTAGCTACTCAGGAGGTTGAGATCTGAGGATCATGGTTCAAAGCCAGCCCCAGCAGTAATGTCCACGAGACGCTGATAACCAGTTAATCACCAGAAATGGAGCTGTGTCTCTAAGTGGTACAGTACTAGCTTTCAGTGAAAAAGCTCAGGGACAGTGGCCAAGCTCATGACCAGCACACACAAAAAAAGGTGTTTGGTAAAAAGTGTTTAAAAAAGTAAGCCAGGAACCAGTGGTACACACCTGTAATCCTAGCTATTCAGGATTGAGGCTGAAATCTGAGGATTGTCGTTCAAAGCCAGCCATGGCACTAAAGTCAGGAGACTCTTAGCTCCAATTAACAAGCAAAAAGCCAAAAGTGGAGCTGTGGCTCATGTAACAGGCCACCAGCCGTGAGGAAAAAAGCCAAGTGAGAGCAAGAGAGCCTGAGGTGCAGCACCAAAAATTTAAAAAAATTAGCTGGGCACTGGTGGCTCACACCTACAATCCTAGCTACTCAGGAGGATTTGATTTGAGGACTGTGGTTCAAACCCAGCCTGGGCAGGAAGTCTGTGATACTCATCTCCTATTACTCATGGAAAAGGCTGGAGGTGGCACTGTGGCTCAAGTGATAGAGCAAAAAAAAAAAAAAAAAAAGAGCTGAGGGACAACATCCAAGCACTGAATTCAAGCCCCACAACTGACAAAACTAAAAAAAAAAATTAAAAAAATATAAAAATAAAAGCTTTTAAAGTTGTTTTATTTGCATTATTTCTGATGGAAGGAATAGAACTCGGGCCTCATATACTGGAGATAATCTCTCAGATTTCTCTGCCCAGGCTGACTTTGAACAATATTTTTCAGATCTCAGCTTTTTTTCTTTCTTTCTTTTTTTTTTTTTTGCAGTCCGGGGACTTGAACTCAGGACCTGGGCACTGCCCCTGAGCTTCTTTTGTTCAAGGTTAGCACTCTACCACTTGAGCCACAGTGCCACTTTTGACCTTTCCTGTTTATGTGGTACTAAGGAATCAAACCCAGGGATTCATGAATGCTAGGCAAGCACTCTCTACCACTGAGCCATATTCCCAGCAACCTTAGCTTTTCTGAACAGCTAGAATTATGGATGTGAGCCAGTAGCACCTAGCCTAGTTTTTGTTTTTTTGTCAGTTGTGGGGCTTGAACTCTGGGCCTGGGCATGGTCCCTCAGCATTTCAGCTCAAGGCAAGCACTTGAGCCACAGCACCACTTCCGGTTTTCTAGTGGTTTACTGGAGATAAATCTCCTGCCTGGGCTGGCTTTGAACAGTGGTCCTCAGATCAGCCTCCTGAGTAGCTAGGATTACAGGCGTAAGCCACTGCCATCTGGTGGTTTATTGAGAAAGAATTGCTCTGTACCCTATCTAGTATTTAGACAATCCTGTGGTTGTATTGGTCTGTCTTTCCATAGAGAACAAGTTAACCACAAAGCTTTATCACTGAATGATGGGTATGGACCTATTATTTAGTTCTAATAAAACACACAGTGATATCACACAAACTCTACTACAAATAAGGGCACACAGAGGCTTCTAATGTAACTATGTAGAGTACTGTTTTCTTGGGGAAAAAACAATCAACCCACAAATGAACTATGGCAAAATGACCTCATTTGGAAATGCAAGTGCGGATACACATGAACACACTGTGCTGTCATCTATGCTGCTTTATGCCTGAAGGAGTTCACATGGGCACTTTTCAGTTATGGCATCCTCACGGCATCTTTACATCATGGAAAGAGGTACAAATGCTAACAGCTAGAAACCATCATCTCACTTGTCACTGGGCCACCACCTCTGGCCAGACCAGCCTCTGTGGGTGCTGAGCATCAACCTCCAATCTCCTCTTGCAGGAAGTGGCATGCTCCTTACCTGTGGAGGTTTACACCTTGTCAAGGCCCAGTTCTTCAGGCGTGGAGATTCCCAGTTCATCTAAAGTTGGTCTAAGTTCCTGGATAACGTAGGGGTAGATTTCCTTATGAGGTCCTGCTTTGTCCTGTTGGCAAAGAGAATGGTCACAGTTAGCTTTCTTGAAAAGCTGTCTCTGTTAACAAAAGGAATTTGAAAAAGCTTTTAATCATATATAGAAGCTGGTAGCAAACTCAACACAGGTTCTGTGCTCGTAGTTTTAAAGATAATTTGAGCCATGAAGTTAATGAGACCCTGTCTCAAAAACTCATATAAATATCTGGGCACCAGTGGCTCACGCCTATAATCCTAGCAACTCAGGAGGCTGAGATCTGAGGATCATGGTTCAAAGGCAGCTCAGGGAAGGAAAGGCAGTGAGACTCTTATCTCCAATTCACCACCAGAAAATCGGAAGTGGCACAGTGGCTCAGATGGTAGAGTGCTCGCCTAGAGCTGAAGAGTTAAGGGACAGTGCCCAGGCCCAGAATTCAAGCCCCACAACTGACCAAAAAAAAACCCCAAACCAAAAAACGAATAGAATAATGAGTCGGGGTTCATGGCCCATATGTGAGAACACTTGCCTAGCATGCTCTAGGCCTTGAGTTCAACCTCCAATACTACAAAAAATAAAAATAAATAAAAATAACAAAAGACAGGTGGGAAAGTGGCTCAGTGGTAGAGTGCTTGTCTTATATGCATGAGGCCCTGGGCTCAATTTCTCAGCACCACATAAGCAGAAAAAGCTGGAAGTGGTGCTGTAGCTCAAGTGGTAGAGTACTTGCCTTGAGCTGAAGAGCTCAGGGACAGCACCCAGGTCCAGAGTTCAGGCCCCATGACCAACAAAAAAATAAAAAAATAAATGACAAGTCTGGAATGACTGGAAAAGAAGATGGTGATGACAGAATTTTGTAAAGATAATTAAATATGCCTAGCAGGCAACAAGAAAAATTAAATTAACACAGGGAAAGTTTTTTAATTTGCTTCCAATTTGAGACCCTAACTGAATTAACTACCAGTGCTGAATGGATTGATCGCCTACAGAGCCGTTTAATTATCTTACCCATTATAAAGAATGTCACTTCCCCTTTGAACTTCTCTGTTACAGACAGAGAACATGCGTGTCCAGAGCAGGAGACTTCTGACAAATACTTAGTTTAACACTCATTTCTACAGTATTGAGTTGGATATAACCTGTTCTGAAACCACTAACATTCATTTCAAATCACAAAGAGCAACAAGATAAAAACCCTTTGCAGGGCTGGGAAGGTGGGCTCAGTGGCAGAGCGCTTGCCTTGCATGCATGAGGCCGTGGGATCGATTCCTCAGCACCACATAAGCAGAAAAAGAAAAGCCAGAAGTGGCGCTGTGGCTCAAGTGGTAGAGCGCTAGCCTTGAGCTGAAGAGATGAGGGACAGCGCCCAGGCCCAGAGTTCAGGCCCACAAATGGAACCTCCCCTCCCCCAAAAGCAAAAAAAAAAAAAAAAAAAAAAACTTTGCAGTTAAGCTTGCTCATGTCCGTTATCTCCTTCAGATAAATTCTCAAATAGAATTGTAAACAACTGAATAAAAAGATATCTTGTACATTTTTTTCTTTTTTTTTTTTTGGTTGGTCGTGGGGCTTGAACTCTGGGCCTGAGCGCTGTCCCTCAGCTCTTCAGCTCAAGGGTAGCGCTCTACCGCTTGAGCTACAGCACCACTTCCGGTTTTCTGGTGGTTTATTGGAGATAAGAGTTTCAAGGACTTTCTTGCCCAGGCTGGCTTTGAACCGATCCTCAGACCTCAGCCTCCTGAGTAGCTAGGATTACAGGCGTGAGCCACCAGCGCCCAACTTTGTGCATTTATTTTTTTAAATGTCAGTACTGGAGCTTGAACACCAAACCTCTACCACTTGAGCTATGCCTCCTTTTCCAGCTTTTTGCTGGAGGTAAAAGTCATGAGGGCCGGGCGCGGTTCAAAGCCAGCCCAGACAGGAAAAGCTGTGAGACTCTTATTTCCAATTAACTACCAGAAAACCGGAAGTGGCGCTGTGGCACAAGTAGTAGAGCGCTTGCCTTGAGCTGAAGAGCTGAGGGACAGCACAAAGGCCCAGAATTCAAGCCCCACGACTACCACCCCGAACAACAACAACAAACCCAAATTTTAGATTATTTTAACAAATGCAAATATACAATACACTGATACCTTATCAACAGGGTTCCCAGTTCTAGAACAACCTTTCCATTCACTGTTGTTTCACTGACCTTAACCACCTCTAGGATGCGAACAGCACTAGCAAAATCATTTAACCGTCTGCATGCCCGCAAAGCAGCATCAATGATTTTGGGTTCTGGAACCAGATCATAGCCAACAAGTGTGTTCATCCCTGTCAATTTAAAAGAAGACAAGCAACTTTATCTGTTTGAGCCTCTATTTTCTATGAAACCCATGAGAAACTAGCGTTAACACATTCTAGATGGTAAGATCATAGGGGATCTTCCACAGTGTATTAGTTGAATTATATAATAAATAACTCACACAGGGGAAAACATACAACAGCAGGACCCCTTAGCTGCACTGGTCATTGATCAAAATGAACTAAGCAACTCAATGGCAGCAATGGGAGGGAGGGAGGGAATGAGCAGGAAAGAGGGAACAACTGACACAAAGCAAAAGGATAGAAATGTACATATTACCCAATACGGAAGAAATAACTATCATCAAAGCTCATAGTATTCATAAACTTTATAGACCATGATAAAAAACATGCCCCAGGAAGGTTAGAATGTGTTTGTAACTTTAAATATCACTATCTCACAATACTGTGAATTTTGTGAAATTTATGTAATCACTTAATCACAATTTAAAAAAATAATAGTAAGCTGGGTACTGGTGGCTGATACCTATAATCCCAGCTACTCAGGAGGCTGAGATCTGAGAGTTGCAGTCCAAAGCCAGCCCACGCAGGAAAGACTGAGACTTATCTCCAACTAACCAAAAGGCTGAAAGTGAAGCTGTGGCTCAAATGGTAGAGCACTAGCCTTGAGTACAAAAGCTCAGGGATAGGCCCTGAGTTTAAGCCTTAAGATTGGAACCAAAAAGCAAACAAAAAAAACCCAGCTAATAATAAAATTGACGATTGAATTTTCTGGTTCAAAAATAAATAAATAGCTCACAGGCTAAAGGAAAAACTCTTCATCAACTAAAGTTCTATTTTATTTTGTTTTTCAGTTGGTCATGGGGTCTGAACTCTGGGCCTGGGCGCTGTCCCTCAGCTTTTCAGCTCAAGGCTAGCACTCTACCACTTGAGACACAGCACTACTTCCTGCTTTTTCTGCTTATGTGGTGCTGAGGAATCAAAGCCAGGGCCTCATGCATGTGAGGCAAGCACTCTACCACTAAGCCACCTTCCCAGACCAATTAAAGTTCTATTTTCATAATAATATCTTTTCAAATAAGAAAATAAGCTGAGCGCCTGTGGCCCACGCCTGTCATCCTAGCTACTCAGGAGGCTGAGATCTGAGGATCGAGGTTCAAAGCCAGCCCGGGCAGAAAAAGTCCATGAGACTCTGATCTCCAATAAACCACTAGAAAATCCGAAGTGGCGCTGTGGCTCAAGAGGCAGAGCACTTGCCTTGAGCTGAAGAGCGCAGGGACAGCGCCCAGGCCCAGAGTTCAAGCCCCATGACTGACAAAAAAAAGAAAAGAAAAGAAAAGCAATTTACCTCTTCAACTCTTAACATGTACATATTTTGAATGCTTTAAAATAGATCCCCTGGGAAAGCAATTGAAAGCAGAGACATGCTTAAGGAGAGAGAGCTAATGAAGCCCAAATGAGTGTATTAAGAAGACATTATAGAGAAATGCTAGTGGGTAGACTCATAAACATTCAACCATAAAATGACTGGGCATGATTACTTTCGTGTCTGCACAAAATGACATATCCACTAGACTCTCTTAATGGGAATGCAAAATTGCTGTTATTTCATTAGTTCTTCTAAAGATTATTCATTAACAAGTTCCCTGGCTACAGCACAATGAAGTCATTACATTCCAGCAGAGAAGCCTTAAAGCACTTAGGTTTATTGCTGTCATTATTGTAAGATATTTAAACAAAGGATACAAGTGAACATAGTCATGTGTAAGCCATACAACCAGATATGGAATTTCTGGTTTGAAATAATAATTAATGCCACTTGTTCATGTTAAAAGAAATATTCAAGTCCAGAACAAAGCAACTCATGATTAAAAATAAAAATTAAAACCCTCAAGCCAGGCGCTGGTGGCTCACGCCTGTAATCCTAGCTACTCAGGAGGCTGAGATCTGAGGATCAAGGCTCAAAGCCAGCCCGGGCAGGAAAGACTGTGAGACTCTTATCTCCAATAAACCACCAGAAAACCGGAAGTGGCGCTGTAGCTCAAGTGGTAGAGCCCTCGCCTTGAGCTGAAGAGCTGAGGGACAGCACTCAGGCCCAGAGTTCAAGCCCCACAACCGACCAAAAAAAACAAAAAACAAAAAACAAATTAAACCCCTCAGCCCATTACCCAGACTGGAAGAGAATCAAATGGCAGCTTGTATAAAGTCTGTGAAAGGAATAAAACTCTCCCCTCTCTTTACTCAGCTAGCCCTATTTCTATTGCAATGGTTTTGTTTTTTTTTTAGATTGAATCACCTTCTGACTTTTTCTCTTTTTTTTTTATTGGAATTTATTTTTATTTTATTGTGAACATACTGTACAGAGGAGTTACAATTACATGGGCAAGTCAATGAGTACATTTCTTATCAAGCATTGCCGCCTCCTCCTTTGTTTACCCTTCACATCCCTTCCCAGCCTCCCCCCTGCAATGGTTTTCAATTAAGATTTTGTCACCCAAGAAACACTGAGCAACTATTTCTACAACTACAGTTTTTGTGTGTGCATGTGTATGTGTGCATTTATGTGTGTATCTAGTGGCTGAGGATACTGCTTATGTACTCTACAGTGCAAAGGACACCCTCCTCCTCCAATGACAAAGAACTGTCTGGCTCAAAATGTTAAGTAATTTAAAAATCCTGGTTTAAAACCCCAGGCCTAGCTGGGTGCTGGTGGCTCATGCCTATAATCCTAGCTACCCAGGAGGCTGAGATCTAAGGATCCCTGTTCAAAGCCAGCCCGGGCAGGAAAGTCTGTGAAACTCTTATCTCCAATAAACCACCAGAAAACCAGAAGTGGCGCTGTGGCTCAAGTGGTAGAGCGCTAGCCTTGAGCTGAAGAGCTCGAGGGACAGAACTCAGACCGAGTTCAAGCCCCACAACCAAAAAAAAAAAAAAAAAACCCAGGCTTGGGGTTGGGAAGGTGGATCAGTGGTAGAGCGCTTGCCTTACATACATAAAGCCCTGGATTCCTCAGCACCACATAACTAGAAAAAGCTGGAAGTGGCACTGTGGCTCAAGTGGTAGAGCGCTAGCCTTGAGCTGAAGAGCTCAGGGACAGCACCCAGGCCCAGAGTTCAGGCTCCATGACCAACAAAAAAAATTTAAAAAAAAATTCCAGGCTTAAAAATTCTACTTTATGGAAACACTTTAGAAACTCGTTTACGCTATGTATGTTTTCAAAATAACTGCTTTCAACCAAGTAGTGAATTCAGTTCATTCTTACATACCAAAACAGACAATGTGCCCATGTTCCACTTACCTTTACGCAGTTCCCAGGCATCTATGTCTGGCTTGTTGAAGTATGTCACCCAGCGAGCATCGAACTCCTCATCTGTCTCATGTGACCCATGGGAATAGCAGCGAGCTGACTGGATAGCTACAAGGAAAGTGAATAATGATTTCAATGCATGAAATAGTCCTTGGGGGCTCGTGGAGTGGCTCAAGGGGTAAGAACACCTATGAAGAAGCCCAAGGCTGGCTTCAAACCTCAGTAACGAGAAGAAAAGTAATAAAGCCAGTCCTTGACATATATTGCCTAGTGTATTTAGTTATTTTTTCGACACAAGGTTTGTGTAGCACAAGCTGGCCCCAAATGTACAATCCTCCAGCCGTAACCAGTTGAGTACTGACTGGGATTACAGCAGCTCTTTTTTTTTTGTCAGTTGTGGGGCTTGAACTCAGGGCCCTTTTACTCAAGGCTACCAATGTGAAACAGTCCCACTTTTGGTTTTTGAGTGGTTAATTGGAGATGCGTCTCACAGGGACTTCTCTGCCTGGCCTGGCTTCAAACTGAGATTCCCAGATCTTAGCCTCCAGAGTAGTTAGGATTACAGGCATGAGCCAAGGATTACAGGCATGAGCCAAGAGTGCCTGGCACACACACACACCCCTACCTTACACACACACACACACACCCCTACCTTACCAAAAACCTCTACACACACACACACACACACACACACACACACACACACACACACACACACACACACACACACACACACACCTTACCAAAAACCTCTCAATAAATACTATAGTTCTAAGGACACACAGAAACCTAAATGCTAAGAGGATCTTTTGTATCTCTAATGTAAGAGTGGGCAGGAGGAAGAATAGAGGAAAAGCAGAGAAGAGGAGCCAATTCAGGAGATGGATGTCACTATTAGATTGCAATTCTCACCTAAATTGTTGTTTGAGCTTCTAGCAAAATATCTGCCTCAATTTTCCCACAGATATAACTTATCTTCACAACAGAGGCCAAGAATGAAGTAAAATGTGTGCATGTGCATAAACATGCTGAAGGCTCACACCTGTAATCTGCTCAGGAGGCTGAGATCTGAGAATCAAGGTTGGAAACCATCTTAGGCAGGAAAGTCGGTGAAGCTCTCATCCCCAAACCACTCAGAAAAAGCTGTAAGTAGCACTGTGGCTCAAGTGGTAGAGAGCTAGCCTTGAGCAAAAGAAGCTCAGGAATAATGCTCAGGCCCTGAGTTCAAGCCCCAGGACTAGCCAAAATTTTAAAAAGGGAGGAGGGAGGCATGTTTCCACTTCAATATACCCAAATAATTGAGACTATGTAGACATTTAATGAGCTTACAGTCTATACATTGATATATCAGAAAACATAGGTTGTCATAACCCTCTACTCCACTGATAATCTGTTGCCAGGCTGTTGGCTCCACGCCTGTAATCCTAGCTACTCAGGAGGCTAAGATCTGAGGATCATGGTTCAAAGCCAGTCCAGGCAGGAAAGTACATGAGACTCTTTATCTCCAATGAATCACCAGAAAACCGGAAGTGGCACTGTGGCTCAAGGTTAGTCCGCAGGCCCAGAGTTCAAGCCCCAGAACCGACCAAAAAAAAAGCCTCATCTCCAATCTTTACCCTAGCCCTAGTAAGTTTACCCTCTTCTACTCAGTTTGCTCACTGCTGGGCCCATATGGGATTTCATGCATTGGGAATACACATACATCTCTTCCATGAATAAAGTTATATTCCTAAACCAGGCAACAGTGATACACCTATAAGCCTAGCTACTCAGGAGGCTGAGATCTAAGGATCACTTTGAAGCCAGCCAGGGCAAACAAGTCCATGAGACTCTTTTTTTTTTTTGTCGGTTGTGGGACCTGAACTCTGGGCCTGGGCGCTGTCTCTCAGCTCTTCAGCTCAAGGCTAGTGCTCTACCACTTGAGCCACAGTGCCACTTCCAGTTTTCTGAGTGGTTTATTGGAAATAAGAGTCTCACAGACTTTTCCTGCCCGGGCTGGCTTTGAACCGCGATCCTCAGATCTCAGCCTCCGGAGTAGCTAGGATGACAGGCGTGAGCCACCGGCGCCGGGCTTCCATGAGACTCTTATCTCCACTAAATTACAAAAAAAAGCCAAAAGTAGAATTGTTGCTCAAGTGGTAGAGCACTAGCCTTGAGCAAAAGAAGCTCAGAGACACTGACAAGGCCTTTAGTTCAAACCCCAGGACTGGCAAAGACACAAAAAAAGTCCTTAACTGCAGTGCTACAGCAGATGTACTCTTAATACTTTTCTCCCATATGCTTAAAGTTTTTATTAGTATACATTAACACTATAAGGGATAGATAATTCCACATGTGTACTGTGTACTTTATACAAATTCATGCCCTCATCATTGTTTTTTAGAGGAAATGATAGAGGCATCTCCACCACCACCTAGTAGTTACACACTCAAAAGGCAAATTATGGTGAATTCCTTTGCTGTGATACAACCTGAAGATACCAGAGGAGAAAAAGAGGTTGATAAGCTGGCTGTGTTGCTCAGAGGGAGAGAAGCCCTACCCACTCCCAGGTGAGGCTGCCGGCCTGGACTTCAGAGGTTCTAAAGGCCTGACTGGAGAACTTAACCATTAGTTTGAATAACCTATCAACTCGGCATGTAACTGGGAAACTATTATATCATTATGTTTCAAACTGGAGACTTAACTTTTTTATTGTTACTTTAGACTCCTCTCTAAATCCTCTAGATACATTCACTTGACCTTATCCTCATTCAAGAAATGAAATTTGGGCTGGGAATGTGGCTTACTGGTAGGGTGCTTGTCTAAGCATGCATGAAACTCTGGGTTCGATTCCTCAGTACCACATAAAAAGAGAACAGAAAAGGCTGGCTCAATGGTAGAGCACTACCCTTGAGCACGAAGAGTCTCCGGGACAGCACCCAACCCCTGAGTTCAAGCCCCACAACAGAGAGGAAAAAAAAAAGAAAAGGAAAAAGAAATTCATGCTGAATGCCAAGTGGCTCACACCTATAATCCTAACTACTCATGAGGCTGAGATTTGAGGACCTCTGTTCAAAGTCCATGAGACTCTTCTAATTAACCACCAGAAAACTGAAAGTGGAGCCTGTGGCTCAAGATGATGAGTGCCACTCTTGAGAGAAAAAGCTCAGGGACAGTGCGCAGACCCCAGGCCGAGTTCAAGCTCCTGGACAAAAAAAAAAAAAAGAAAGAAAATTCATTTTCATGTTTGTTGTTTGAGACAGGGTCTAAGTAACAGCCTCCCTAGTGCTGAGATGATATATATGCAGGCTACCATGCCTAGCTTTTCTGGTGCTGAGAACCAAACCCAGGACCTCCAAGAAAACAAAGCACTCATACTAGAGACACACGTCCAGTCTTTGGTTCTCTACTCTCTGTTTTTGAGATAGGGTCACGGCTTACTTTCCCTATCTTGGCTGCCTCCACCTCGCCTCGAAATAGCTGGTATTACAGATGCGTAGCACCATACTGGCTCTCTTCTCTGACTTTCAATAGAGTAAAACCTCTAGTCTCATACTGGTCCTTATGAGGCACAAATCTCCACTAGTGTTATCCAAAAATGAATGGGCTAGGGACATGGTTCAGTGGTACAGTGCTTGCCTATAGGGCCCTAAATTCCATCCATAGCATTGAAAAATCCAAAACTGAAATGCATAGTAATACAGCAAATACATGCAGTTTAGACACCACGCTACACAGAGGATGGAATGTTATGTAGCCTTGAAGCTATGTGCAAGTAGGCTTTGTTATGTTCTGGCCACAAAATCCCCTAACCCTTAGGAGGCACTAATCAGACTCAATTTCATCCTTTACCAAGGCACAGTTATATTAAGTACTTCTGCTAGACAAGATAAGAGTTACACTATCTCATTTAGCTTCACAACTACCCCAAATTACTTTGACTTTACACAAAAGGCAGCTGAGACTTAAGGTAAAGTAACATGCCAAGAATCACACATATAAAAAGCAGCTGACATTGCTTATGACCAACACTGCCTCCTAGTGCAAATTACATAGGACAAACATCTAAAATAAAGCCATTAGTTTAATGGCTTGGGAGGGTGAACAGAATACCTGAGAGATAAATCAACAAGGAAATAATTTACTTAGTGTATGGTTTGCCAAAAATTTCTGCCATTTCCCAAACCTGCTTTAAAAATGTAGAAGAGGGGCTTGGGAAGGTGGCTCAGTGGTAGAGTGCTTGCCTTGCATGCATGAGCTCCTGGGTTCAATTCCTCAGCACCACATAAGCAAAAAGAAAAAAAAGCCAGAAGTGGAGCTGTGGCTCAAGTGGTAGAGTGCTAGCCTTGAGCTAAAGAGCTGAGGGACAGCGCTCAGGCCCAGAGTTCAAGGCCCATGACTGACAAAAAAAAAAAAAATCCAAAATGTCATCTGAAAAAAAGTTTAAGAAAGTATTTGCTACTTTTGCAATAAGGAAAAAAAAATGACTCCATAAAATCCGAACAGCAGAGTGAGTCAAGGCTAACAACCAAAGCTAAGAAACAGAAAACATTTCCACTGTTAATTGAAGAGCTAGTTCTCAAGGTGGGCCTCATTTTCTTCTAAAACAAGAATGTCTATGGTGTCTAAGCTTACTCCAGCCCTATTGTTCTAGGACACTTAAGCCCAAACTGAATGAGGTGAAAAGTATCCTTTAGGTTCAAAGAGTCAAACAGATAATGTCAGTTTTTCAATGTGTGAGTTAAATGTTTCAATGGGCCTAAATGTAGGCCTTAAAACCTACGTTTCATATTTTACACCATAATCATGGACTAGCACTCAAGGGCAACTACTGTTAACTAAAAAGCAAGGTGCTAGGTAGGTAGGTGCCTGTGGCTCAAGACTGTAATCCTAGCTACAGAGGAGGTTGAGATCTGAGATCGTGGTTCCAAGGCAGCATGGGCAGGACAAGTTCGGAGACTCTAATCTCCAATTAACCCCGGAAAAGACGAAAGTGGAGGTGTGGCCCAAGTGGTAAAGCTGGTAAAGCACTACCCTTGAGGCGAGGAAAAAACAGAGGGACAGCGCCCGGACTGAGTTAAAGTCTAAGACCAGAAAAAGAGGAGGCGGGGGAAGAAGGAAGCTGCAAGCTCAAGTGGCAGAGCAGCAGC